TTTGTTTGTGTCTGTGTTTCATGTGTTTGTAGGTTTACGTATGTGTGGAAATGTGTCTATTTGTACATTTGTGTTTTATCTTTTGTAAGTTCGTGTTTGTGCATTTAAAGTGTATGCCCGTGCTGATCATGCGCGCAGCAGACTTACGTTACACAAAGATGAAATTCAGCTTCTAGCAGCAACTGCAAGTCTCCGGGTAACCTTCATCGTCATACCGAGGTCGTATAATAACAATAATACATTATAATGTAATTATAATTATTATAGTGTATCCTTCAAACACTTTTAGTTGTTTATTTGCTTTTTTTTGATTACGGAGATTGTCGTGATAGAAGAATGCGTTATCATCTGTAAAGATGCATGCATCAGCGATCATGTTGTTGCGGCCCTAATAAGTTATTACGTTTGGTATATTGTTACTTTATTGTGCTCTGATGGTCTCAGGCTGCAATCAATAGCGTTTACGTTGGCTTTGGAGCGGTTGTTTTTATGCTAACGGAAGTAATATGCAGTAAATACTCAATGACGTCATATTAAAGTGACGTGTCGTGTCGCTGTGAGCTTTCATCTTCTCATTTGTGCTGCCCTTTACCGCTACGGTGATGATGACAAACAACTTACATGTGCGTGTGTTTATATGTGTATGTGCGCCTGTGTGTGTGTATGTGCGTGTGTGTTTGCTAATTGATTGCAATGCATGTGTGTTTTGTTGTATGTTTGTATGTATTGCATGTTGTTTGTATGTGTATTTGTATGCTGCTACGTAATAGCATATCAACTAACACAATATTTTATTACGTTGATTTGTATGTATGTGTGTTGGTGGTTTGCTGTTTTGTATGTTGAGAGGAGTGTGAATGTGAACTGTTGTATTGTTGCTGCTTCGTAGTGTGTTGTGTTGCGTGCCGTTGAAAATGCATGTGTGTTAATGAAAGCTGTTGCGTAGTGACTGCTGTGTTGTGTTTCTGTTGTTTCTAATTCAAACTGCGTTCATGGTTCTCGGCGTTCATTGCGATAAATTGGGTTAAATGGGATTTTATTTAACGCAATTGCGCAAAATATCGCGCTCCTTCAAACGATTCCCTTTACTAGGAATAAAAGACGGAGCCGGAAGTGAATTGACCACGTGACACAATGACGTCATCAATCATCATCATGCCAACCAACAATTTACTCCTCGTTAGCTGTTCAAAAGACTTCGTAATGGTCACGTGACTATGACATAATTGCCTGAGAGACCAATCAGGTTAATCTAATTTATTCATTGTCATTTATATAGATGGACAATGATTGATAGATGGACTGATGAATAAATAAATAGACGAATGAATGAACGAACGAACGAACAAACGAACGAACGAACGGACAAATGTATGAATAAATGAACGAATGGATGAATAGTTGAATGAATGTATAGAAAGATTTGTAGATGAATTAATAAAAAGATGAACGAATTAAACTAACAACCAATTAGTTGAACAGACTATCAATAGTAAATGAATTTTTCGAAATATGAATTTTTTAAAATATAAATTTTTCCAATTCATGTGTTATGTTTAACAGGGATATTATATTTTTTCACATTTTTTTCTGAAGTAAAATAAATAATTTTTCAACTCTCACAGCAATCTTTTACAGGCTGTGTGTATGTGTGTATGTGTGTGTGTATGTGTGTGCGTGTATGTATATATATATGTGTGTGTAGGTATGTGTGTGCGTGTGTGTGTGTGGTAATCAATTCACAGATTACGATTTCATTGCAAGAGACTTCATCATAATTGTCATGTGTCATGTTCATTGATGATGGAATGCGTAGTAATTGTTGTGCAAAAAATGCCGTAATGAACAAAGTAAAAAGCACCAAGAAAAGAAGAGGATGGAAAAAATTCTCACAAAGTTAAAGTATCCACACAGTAAAACAATCCACACATTAAAACAATGTCCAAATGTCACCAAACATTTCTTTCTTTTGCTTTCAATTCCATTTCATTTATTTACATAAAAAAATATTGTCGGCATTTTATAGAATATTTTTTTAGTTTTCTAGAAGCAATGAATTAAAGTAGAATGGCAACAGATCAAAACGGTTTTTTGAGATGAACGAAAAAATTATTTCAATTTTCATCATTGACAATTTTACTTTAATTTGGACGATATGTTGGTATTGACGTTGTAAATGTCACACACACACAACAACATACGCAGCATAAACAACGAAACATAACACATTAAATGCAACGCATGTAGTAGCATGCCGTTCACACACACAACAAACAACAACATGAACAACAGAAGAGAACAACCGAAGTGAACAACAGAAGAGAACAACCGAAGTGAACAACAGAAGAGAACAACCGAAGTGAACAACGGAAGAGAACAAACACACTGAATCTCAAAAGAGCACAACACAAAAGAAATCAAAACACAAATAACAGCACAACAGCAACCAATCAAAACCCACGACGAACTAATGTAAACAAAAACCTGTCAATGACGTCATTGAACCAAAAATTATAAATCGCTTCTTCCGTTTTGTCTTTTTTTCACTCTCTTCAAGTATGCAAACAAATTTTTGCTGTTTGTTTGTATTTGGCAAGTAATATGGTATGCTAAATTAATACTTTTATTGTTAGTTAGCTTGTTAGTTGATGAAATTTCATGATATTTGATATCATTCATTTACAAGTAGTTTTTTACATTAAAAAAAAATTAATAATTCTTACATACTGAGAAAAAAAATCGTTAGAAAAATGAATATTTTTACTCACAAAATTGTGTAAAAAGAAACATCCACCAGATATCCCTCACAAGCTCTCAACCGTTCTTCAACATGATGCATTACATCAAATAAAAATTATTGAATTGTCCTCACCGCATTAACAAAATGAATCCAATGGAAAATAAAGACGCATGTGCGAATGGAACTTGAGTATACAAAGTTTTTTCCACAAAAGCATGCGCATTTTTTAATCGTAAGAGATAGACAAGGTACAACGTTTAAACGTTTGTTGGGTGTTTAAACATTTTATGTAGAGTAGGTATTTAATTTAAACATTTTATGTAGAGTAGGTATTTAATTTAAACATTTTATGTAGGGTAGGTATTTAATTTAAACATTTTATGTAGGGAAGGTATTTAATTTATTAAATGAACACAAGATAAAATTGATCTGCTCTCAAAAAGTTGTTAGCAAAGACGTTTCAATACATTGTTACCATGATTGTAACCTCGATGAGAAAAGTTAGTTAAATTTATTGTTGATTTAAAGCAAATTTACGCTAGAAAATGCTTGAAAAAACTTTTAAACTTTGATTTTGAAGAATTTCTGATATCTGAGCTTAACAATTTAGCAATAGTATCTTATTACAATTATGTGGAATGCCTTGTAAAAAAAAACTAAACTCCAAAAACATCAAACAGTATTGTACAAAAAAATTTGTAGCAATCTACAAAGACAACCAACCTTGTAAGAATAAATTTCAATTGGTTGTTGTTGTTATTGTTGTTGTTGTTGTTGATGTTCATTCCTAGAAAACATTCAAAATGTTCATCTGTTCGGTTTGTATGGGAAGTTTATTCGTTCATCATTCAAGACCTCTCTCATTTGAAATCCATTCATTGTAACCTTATCAATCTGGTGACACTTAATTTGACAGCATTGGTTGTGTTAGTATGTTTGTTTGTGTTTGTATATTTGTTTGTGTTTGTATGTTTGTGTTTGTATGTTTGTGTTTGTATGTTTGTTTGTGTTTGTATGTTTGTATTTGTTTTACTTGAACATTTGTAGTAGGTAAGCGATAATTTAATTGTATTGCAATTTATTATTAAAATTATTTAAAATTTTCAAACAACTTTTAAACTGGCTACCAAATAATTTTTTCAAATCCATCAAATGTTTCAAACTTTTAGAAATATATTTTGATGCAAAATGTTTAAACAGTGTCAAAATGTCTCCAAACTATATCTTCAACAGTAGAAAAATACTCGCAAGAAGAAATTTTTGGGTTTAAGAGCGCAAGGAGCATTCACAAGTCGCTAGGTATCTGCCATATAAATATCCTCAAAACGTCTCCTTCACTTTTTCTATGGTTTCCTGGCTTATATATTCTATGTGTGCCACCATGTGCAGGGTGCCCATATATAACACTTAATACATACATGCATACATATATAATATATACTACATTCATATAAACAAAAATATAATACATATACATATATAATATATACATAAAATACAAATATAAAATATATACATATATAATATAATTATGTACGTTACTTTAAATAATATGTTTAAGTATGATGTAAATTTTGTTCATGAATATTTGCATAGAATATAATAATCAATCATATATTATGCTAAGTAGATGGAAGATGTTTATTTAATAATATTTGCTTCATGCTGGTGAATTTAAAATCATTTTATGAATTTCTTTCCCTAATAAATCCTTCTAAATTTCCTCATACTCCAGCCAGCCACACGTTAAATGCAAACGCGAGCAGTGCAAGCAATGTTTTGTATTTGAACTTCTACACTACTAAAGCGAATGAGATTCCATTCCAATGCATGTTTCCAATGTTGAAGTTTTTCTAAAAAATATTTTTCATCACGCATTCATCAAAAAATCAGAAAAATCGCAACATAATTTTTTATATTTAAACAAATGAATTTAAAAGCAATGGTCCAATTACTAAAACACTTCTAAATTTAAAAAAATAACGGAATGGTGGCGTAAGTAGGTGAGCCTAACCCGTCTGCTCTTGCATTTTTTGAGTGCAATTCTAATTTGCATCGCCTTAATCGCGCACGAGTTTCATGTTGATTGATGAGTCCAAATTCAACTCTGGGTATTATTCTTTCTGGATGCGTATAAATATAAATACATTTAATTTGATGTAATTTTATGTGTGTTTGAGTGCGCGCTGTGGAGGGTCTAGACCACTTTGAAGGGGTAGGGCCAACATTTCGAAAAAATTTTAATTTATAATATATTTTTTCAGATTTTTCGAGACGCCAAACTGAGTTTAACCGACATTTGATGAGAATATTGATCTGCCCTACCCCGCCCCAATCTAGATCCGCCACTGTGTGTGTGTGTGTGTGTGTGTGTGTGTGTGTGTGTGTGTGTGTGTGGTGTGTGTGTGTGTGTGTGTGGGTAATGTGTACGTATGTTTAAACTTCCTACTGGACGCATGGCACATAAAAAACAAAGCAAATGACAAAACATTTCATTTAAAAAAGAGTGTATGTTCCTACGATTAGTTGATTTTATTATAAAATGGGGTTTCCAATATAGACTCACCTGCCCGCGGACGACTGGTATGAAAATAGTTGAAATGGACAGTCAGTGGGGACAATTATTTGATTCACACATTGGATTGTGTTATTGTATTTTATGTCATCATGAATTCTCCAAAAAAAATTGAACATGCAGAACAACTAAAATATTAACATTCCAACATCCACATAAAATTATTTTGCTATCCTGCAAACAATGTTTATTTTGTTACATTTCGTTTGATTTAAAATGATTCAGCAGACAAGCAAAAAGTTTAATTACAAATTCAAATATCGCACGCATTCATTTAAAAACGTCGAGTTAGCACTACCGAAGAGATTAACATTCGTGTAACAAACTTGGATTTCCTGATTATGACGATGAACAAATTGAAGGCCGTCATACTGGGAGTAACTGGCGACAACCAGCTGCTGTGCAAGCAGAAAGTACAATAAGTTCTTTTGCGAAAAGTACAAAAAGTGAGCCTGTGTGATGTTTCAAAACTGGAACGGTCTCGATGTAGAAGTGCAACAAAAGTGAGATTATATACATTCTCATCATCGAGACACCTCTTGTTGCGCCTGTCAGATGTCAGTGACGTTACCATTTCTAATTTATAGCAGAATAAAATGAAAGCAAGCCATTCGCAATGAACTTGTCTCGATATGAAAAGGAGAGAGGGAGAGAATCATGGGACGACGACCACCAAGCAGAAGCAGCAGCAGCGGCGGTTGAGCAGCACTGAGATTTTATCTGGCGATTTATGGCATCAATAAAAAAGATAGAACGCACATGCATGCACCACAAATTTAACGGCGCATTGTCCGCATGCAGAGTTG